ATTCAACGCCATGTGCCACGCATAAAAGTGTCATAAGTACGCAGAGAGCCCACAAGGGCAAACAAACACAAGTCACTGACTGTGACCTTAGGAAGTCCCAGTCCAATAACAGCCTTGGCGGATTGAGGAAAGCAGATCCCTCGATAAGAGATGATCATCGGTTGGTGAACCAAAAAGTCGATGGCATGTAGGGCTGAGATTATGACGAGGGAATATCAATCAGCACCATACTCTTGCTTCTCATTCCACACAGTCACTCTGCGCTGACGTCTATTACAGTTGCTCGGCGATCTCGAAAAGCGATTAGGTTTAGTGACTCAAGTTGTTTCACATTTACACTGTTATTCACACCCTTCCCAACTAATCTCACCTAGGTTCCGTCGGAATTTCTGTCAAACAAAGATGAACTGGCACTAGCGAAGAGGTTGGCTCACTTGTTCGTGGCCTTCCACCAGGAAGCTTGTTTGCTCACCACCATGGCAGCCAATGCCTGGATCGATCAGCTTGGTCATGCTCTAGTGACCTTGATCTCAGCACTCCCGTCACAGGTAATTTGAGTGTTCTAGTTCTGTTTTTGCACATTTGTAACTAGTAGTATTTTCATGGTCCTGGTGTATTTTCCTGGTCAAGAGATGGAACTGAGTTTAGATAGCTGTGCTCTAAGGGTACTGGCTATTGTATTTATTGGAGAATTCAATGTTGATTGCGTCTCTCTTTCGGTTCGGGTATCTGGTAATGAACGTCGGACAAGTGAACGTCAGTACCGCCATGCCTGTCGATCCCCCACCAAAGTAGTGTCAATAAGACCGCGGATACCAATGTGACTGACAGACCTCGCTGTCAAACCACAACTTTGCCACATTTGAACGTTTTCCGATATTGTGATGGTTTGATGCAAACATTCCTACGTAAATCCACACATCCACTCTTCTGAGCGTCTCTCCAGTCCCAACATAATTCTTTTTACCCTTTCTCTTTTACCACTTTAGGAGATAGTTGATGTTCAAGATTGACGTATTTTACAGCTCTTTACAGCGAATTGCTTCCAGGCTCTTCAGTACTGTGTAGCACATTTCGGCATTATAAGTTTGAATCTATATAAGTTCGTCTAGTTAACATCACTTGTCCTATTTCAAACATCACCGATTTCTTGTGATCCCTTCGGTATCCCTGGAGCCTCCGAGCTCTTCTAAGTTTCTTTGCACTCTGTAAAGCATTTCCACTGGATCCAGTTTGACAAACTGTGTACAAGTAAATCGGTTTCTTCCAAATGTGGCATCCTAACGAACTTTCAACTGTGTGACTCCGTCGATCTATGCATATACTCGTTTCGTTGAAAGCAATGCAGACGAGGTCTCCCCTTGTTTGAGCTCAGCTCAATCATACGGATTTGTCCGCTCACTGAGAATGGACATGTTCCGTTCAGCGGAGACTTTTTACACATATATATGAGTAGTACTCCAGACATGGGCAACGTGGCAGATTCTCAGCCCTTGTACTTCCTTTTGATGACATGGCGGTTAGGCACCGGAAGAGTCATAGCTGAGTGTGATAACGCCCAATTTTCAGCTCTTGTTGGTGATGAGTTTGTGGTTCTCCTTGGTCGACTGACTACTTCCATGGGAATTCCTAGCTGAATTTCTGCTAAATCGATCGAATTTCTATCAGCTTAGAAAACAGTCGTTCAGTTGTTGCTGGTCTGTCTTCGGTTCAACCAAACGCTACTGGGGGAGAGGTGGCTCAGTGGTTAGAGCGCGAATTTGCTGACCGGAAGGTCCGTGATTCGAACCCGACCCCTGCCTCTCGACTTCCCCTGTCTAGGCTTGAGCAACCTGACAGTATCCCAGCCCTCGTGCTTCCTCCGAGTGGCACCGTAAGGGTGTTACAGCTGGACGGTGTCTTCACCGCATCCGTGTTAGCAACCAGGACATTAGGCATTCCCAATCATGTTTCTGTGGTCTAACCTAATTAACGTTGGAGGTTGAATGTTGGTCATCACATGGACCAAAATCCTTGCTGGTTGAAAATATATTCTTTTAATTTTCCCGCTGTACTGATTTGCACGATAGCGGAAGTAATTGAATGATATGTTCAACTAGGTTAGGCACAGTCTTAACCCGGTCTGGGTAACAAAACAGATTCGTAGTTGGGTGCGATTATGTGTGCTACATGTTAGAAGCGCAGGAATTGAGATGGTTAGGGAGCAGATCGAAAGTGACTTCGTATGACGGGCCCTTTCCACCTTAGGTCGCCCCCGCCGAGCTGGACGATTCGATTGCAGACAGCGCACAACGAATCGAGGTGACATCATCAGCGGTCGGTTTGCTAGAGTGCGTAATTGAGCTAACGATGCTGCGGTAGTTTCGCATTCAGTAGTGTTGCTTGTGTGTTAATATATGTGCTGCTACCCGGGCTGACCTTCGATCACGAACGGTGGTTCGATCGGGTGGCTTCGTTGATCGCTTTGTTAATTTGTGTCCTGATTCATGGAGGAATTTTTATCAAAAGAAGCCTGAAAAAGAAGACATATCAACAACAGCAACAGCAAGAACAAGCGACCAGAGAGTTTGTCCTTGAAGAATGTATCTGAACTCACAGCGGGATTATTAACTCGAAAATGAATCCTCGTTGGTTACAAATTGAACGCTAATCTACAGAAACTGTTTTCAAGATCGAAGGACAAACGAGACAAAACCAAGAGGAATAATGTAGTGCACCAGATCAACTATAATAACTTCTACGTTGAACAGTCTAGATGGAAATAATGCAACGAGAAAAGGGACAAAACCCGGCCATCACGAGATATGACCCGCCTATCCTGGATGTCCATACACGTAAACCAAGAGGGTCACAAATGCAATCTGGAAAACGCTAAAACCTTGACATACAGCTAAACGGGACACGGAAGAGAGTTTCTGGAAGCATGGTATTCCACGATTAACTTGATCCAACTTGCGCACATGCGAAGGACCAATATCTCAACCGGAATACTCAACGAGAGCCGAGTGTCGGATGAACAAACCAAGAAACAAGAAATGTCTTGGAGTCGGGTCAGCATAGGTCACAAACCAGGCCAGAGGTCAATCCGGCACCGACTCGAGTACGAGAGTAGGGGAGGCCAAGCTCAGAGGTCATGTGGTCATCGATCAATCAGGACACAGGATAACAGCGATCAACGAAACCACCTGACCGAACAGCTAATCGAAGGTCGGCCCGGTTAGCCGAATGTACATGAACACACACGCAACACCACTACACCCCTCACAACGCACTGATGATATCACTTAAATGGGTGACGAAACGTTTGCAATCAAATTGCCTGGATCGGCGAACAAACCAACGACTATCTACGCTACCTGAGCTACCACCATTCTCCACCGAGGATAGCTGTCGTTTACACTATGTTCTTCAAAGCTGTTAGTGTTGGGTGCGGATTCAGCCACCTTGAACGTCGTTTTTCTTTTCTGGAGTGTGTTCAATCACTTTCTATTGATTACTTTTCCAGCCCGCTCAGCACTTCAATTTCAACCTACTGGGTCGTTTGCTCAGGTGCTTCGCACAGAACGCAGAACGTGTTCACGAAGGCGTGATTGCCAATGGTAAGCACCGTAAGAAGTTGGGATAACATGCTTCTGTCGCGCCGTGCATTGATTGATGTTATTGGTTGGTGTGTATCTAATATGAAGATCGTCATGCTAATTTATTTTTCCGAGCGGCTGTCACTCTATTTTCACTGTTGTTCTAGCCCATTTTGTGTTCCGAGTCGTAGATCGTTTTCTACTCCATCTTCCCCATGAAGGCCAACCACTGCTGCGCATACATTTCAAAACTGTTCAAACTGCGTCGCGCCGTACCCCGTCAAATTATCCGGTGTATGGATAAATGCTCATTCCCCTCACTCGCGCGGAAGGTCCGTTTTTCGAACCCGACTTCTGCCTCTCGAATTCCCATGTCTAGGCTCGGGCAACCTGGCAGTATCACAGCCTCCGTGCTTCCTTCGGGTGGCATGACAGCCAGGCACCAAAAGGATGAATTCTCACTCGCGCACCACTGTCGAATCATGGTTGCGAATAGGACAGATAAAAATGGCTGGTTCGCGATAGCTCAATGCTTTAGATTCGAACTTAGTGACCGGAAGACCCGTGATTCGAACCCAACCTCGACATCCCAACTGCTCTTGTGTAGGTTTTGGTAACCTTGCAGTATCTCAGCGCCCATGCCTCCTGTCGGTGACATGGCAGCAAGACATCGAAAAGGTGTTGCATTCCACCCCTCAATCCTCGAAGAAACACTTGAGGGATACTAAGATATACCTTCTTGTGGGACGAGGGCTAATGATAGTTCTATGGCACCAGTTCTGCGTCTTGAAATGGATGTTTTAATGGCATCCTTGTTTTTTGTGTAGCTTTTCCCCTTGAACCACGGGCCTTCCGGTTAGCAAATTCGCTCTCTAATCAATGAGCCATCTCGCCCCATTTTAGTCGAAACGAATTACAACAGAGACAGCTTTCGCATCCCTAGAATAGCTTCTCCTATGGGGCAATATGTGACGCAGCCGGCTCAGCAGGAGAAGGAACAGTGCCGCGATATCAGAAAACTCAACTGTTCAGGCTGAGTTAGCTAGTAGTGAAGTAACTTAGGAAAAGTGAACGCTCAGCCATAGCAACTTTTCGGTGCACTCTAACCATGCGGTTCGAAGGAGCCACATGGCTGATATTTTGCGAAACCGTCCAGGCCCCAACAGGAGCAACTGACCTTTCCGTCAATAGGCCCGCATGTTAACCATCTGGATATGTCTAGCTCAGGTGGCAAAAGTAACAGTGAAGTTCAGCAAGCAATACAGTGTAAACCAAGCAAACACTCGAAGTATTTTGCTCTTTTTATCCTTTACTAAAAAACTGTTTTGCTGCTGTTTGAGCAACTGCTACCCTTTGTCTATTTCTGCATTGACCCAAGTCATTTTGAGGTCACAACTGAAAACAGAACAGGAGTGGATTTTCCACACCTCGAAATGGTTGGGAGAAGACACGCTGGGCCTTTCGCTTACCGAACCTGTCCTGTACCAACCGAGCTAACAGAAACGCTTGTTCCACCCCACACTTGGTATGCACTTGGAACCTCGTACGTAATTCACCAGGCCTAATGATCTAACTGTCGGTATCTGTTAGTGAGACTCACGCACGAATGTCACAGTGCACCAAACGTTGAAATCATCCCCTATTCAAAGGGGATTGATAAAAATCGATCAGGGCGAGATGGTTCAGTGGTTAGAACGCGAATTCACTGACCATGTCCGTGGTTCGAACCTTAGACTGAAATTTTCCTATTGCCATATCCATCATGGGGGTGTGTGACCTTCTGCGACGCATGTTGTTTAAACCAAATCCAATGGTAGCTAGGGGCGGGAGGGCCCAAGTGGTTGGAGCGCGAATTTACTGACCGCAGGGTCCATGATTCGAACCCGACCTCTGCCTCTCGACTTCCCCTGTCTAGGCCTGGGCAACCTAGCAGTATCCAAGCCCTCGTGCTTTTTTCGGGTGCTATGGCAGCTAGGCACCGGAAGGGTGTTACAGTTGAACGATTTGGTTTTATTTATATGGCATAGTTGTGTCTCATTTTGGTCTGTGGGGAACTGATGATAGGAAGCACCTGCTGATGGATTTATCTTTTTGAGTTAGGACGCTAGCTTCATTCCGAAAATATTAGTGCTTCGTATTCACGTGTGACTGACTTGTCGACTGTTCCCGTCGGTGGTTGAGTACTGGCTAAGCCACTGAGACTCGCAATGGCTATACCTCCATAGTACATCATTGCTGAAGGATAGTCTGGTTTGTCAATAGGACAAGCGATTACAAAGTTGGATATCGACCCAGAGCTCAACACGCGGAGTTTCCTTCACCCTTTGAATCAATTGATTATTATTATTTGTTTGAAACCACAACACTGCTGAAGTCCTATCTTCAGGTCGTTCACTTTTAACCTTCCTTCAAGCCGCCTTCAACCCGTTTACGTGGAAGGTCACGCAGGATCATCCCTTTGGACACTTGACAGGCTTGCTGATGGCACTCAAGCTCTGTTTGCTCCACTCCCCCTGGTTTGCTTGTCCTCCTCCTTCCTCCGGTTCTCAGGTTAGTGTTCTCAAAAATTCACATCAACTACGCCGAACTAACCATTGTTCACTATCCGAAACGCCTCTCACCTTAATCTTTCTCCATTCAAATGCGAAACAATGAAAAGTTAACCANTATATATATATATATGTTTCTTTCCCCTTGATGCTGCAGACCAGTTCCCCACCGGTTCGGAATCAATCAGCCAAACCCAGCGCTCGATTCCTCACATCACCTCCAACGATCCCCTCCGTCCAACGATCGGGATCGTTTGACGATTCGTCTTGCTCCTCTTCACAATTGACTCTGGAAGAGCGCATTGCCGCCACGTCCTATAAAGCTTCATGTGGTTTGCTTGATGCGCTGGAAGCTGTTGTTATCCTAGTGAGGGTATGTTTCTTATACGGGGGTTGATCCTCGGAATTTTGGTTTCGTTTGATTGGCCTACTTTGTGAATGAAGATTACCTATCTATCGTCTATTTTTTGCCTGCTCACACTCTGCATATTCGTAATTTGGTACATTGTGCAATCATGTACCGCTTAGACCGGATACCAATCGATACATCGAATCATAGTCACGACTGGGAACATTAGAAGGTGATTAGTAGACACTTTTGAGTACATTGGTGAGTGTTTACAGAACAATTGCGATCCGTTTGTGTACTGTCCATCCATGCTTCAACAAACTCAGGTGTTGTTGAGGAACGGTCACATTCCCTCGACCGTACTTCGAAAACTCTGCCGCGTATTTCTCAGTAGCGGTGCTCGGTATTATGTCCAATCTACTATTGCACCGGCGTCCTGTCTAACTGGTGCTACTCTGGTTTATCCCGTTATAGAACCACGCGCAGGAGCCTCAGCTTCTAACCACTCTTGTGGAAACACTGTTGCCCGCCATTTCGCGTCTAACCGCGTGTTGTGTGCAAGCCGAGGCCATTCTCCAAGCGGCCGATACGGAACTAGATGAGCCCCTGCTCATCACACAGCGTAGACAGCAAACAAAGACTGCGGTAAGTCATCTGGGTTGCTCTTTCGATTGCCAACTGAGATTACTATAGAGGCTCATGACACCTTTGGGGAAGATTGACAGGAACTATTCTTCCAAATAATGTGGTGGTTTCATATTGTGGGTTCTGAGTTTAAGTGACCGAGAGGTGGGACCCGGAGCAGCAATGCTGAAGTACGTCGAACGGTATTGGGAAGAAATTACCCATCTACAATAGATGAACTGACCACACTCCATAGGTTGCGGCCACCCTGGATGGGGACTTCGAAACTCAACTCACCAGTTAATGACATTGGCGGAAATGGCCCAACCACGCCGTCGGCGGCGCTCTTGCATCAAAGCGATCGCCTTCAATGCGTAGCCACCTAATTTCCGAACAAGTTGATTATGCCTTCACCTCCAACGGTTGGTTGTATGTTCCACTTCCCCGTTATCCGGTGATCGAAACTGTAGCAGTTGAAACCAATGTGCCTATGGCACACGGTTTATAGCTGATAAATTGAATTGAGTTGATTGATTGTGTGACAGATTGTCACCAGAGCTAAACAGGACTCCTAAAGAGTTGCGGTGACTCCACCTTGCCTTCACCACAAATCTTGAAGAGTACAACAACTCCTGAACCGATGGCTGGTTTTTGAACGCGAATACTTCGGAAAACTCTAACGCAACATATTTTCATATGTACACCACATGTATGTGACATATGATTACAAACCAAACGGATGTAAGATTTACCTTCACAGTGAATATGCGATTTATCTAGTTTTTAACCTTTTCTCGAAGTGTGAGAAGACCCCTTCATGAAGAAATGGAGAATGGCAGATGATGTTCTAGCAGTGATCATACACCTCCCCGTTTTTTGTCAGTTTGACACGCACACACCCTTATTTGTCTCGTTTCCTTTCAGCTTGAAGACGTCTTTGTTTCCATTTGGCGCACACTTGGCTGTTCACCAGTCGTGTTATCCGAGACCGACACAGTTTCCGTCGTCAGATCACTATCCAAGCGCTCACAGAATGTGAGCAACCAGAAACCGCCGAAGTTGAACCCTCATCTATGTTCCGGACTGTTGCAAGCGGGACTTACGCTGTGTGACGCAGACCCAAAGTCATCAGGTTAGCTTGATGTTCAATGATAGATTTCGGATAATTTCGTAGACTGAGTAAGCCAGGGGTTTTGTTGTCCTGTCTAAAAATCCCACGGTAGTTGCTAGAATGCTTTCACTGACACCACGCTATCGGTTTCAACAACATGAGCGAAATTTATTTGAAGCTCTTCTAGACCTCACGTGAACAAAATACAGCTGAATGATTTTTTGAAAAACAAGCAATTTCGGCAGTCTTTATTCGAAAGCCTTGATGTGAAGAAAAGTTGACAGAGAAGGGATCTAGTACCAGACTGTCATTCCAGGATGCATACGCCACCAGATACTCGGAATAGCAACTGACACCAACAACACCAATAATATCGATCCGCAGCCATATCTTGCAGTGTCTCCAACCGTGTACAGGTGAACCACGCAGGCCCCACCTTGGAAGACGTATCGCGTTGACATCACGTCTCTACGATTGACCAACCTTCTGCTTTAGCCACTTTGAATTGAACACAGAAAACAGCACCCTCTTCGGCATGCGCAGTACATGGGAAACATGCTCAGAAAGGTCTGAGGCGCGGGTAAAACTCTGGACTATACTCATGTGGTACAGGTCGATATTTAATAGTATTAAGGATTATGGGGAGCGCGATGACCCAAGTAGTTAGAGTGCGAATTTACTGATCGTAAGGTCCGTGGTTCGAACCCGGCCTCTGCCTCTCGACTTCCCCTGTCTAAGCTCGGGCGACCTAGCAGTATCCCAGCCCTCGTGCTTCCTTCGTGTGGCATGGCAGCTAGGCACCGATAGGGTGCTACAGCTGGACGATTGCATTCAGGTTTATCGTGTTGCCAACCTACTTGAAATATTGGGTTAGTTGCAGGTTAATTTTGTTCTCGTAAGCGACACCCTGACGTTTAACTTGTTTTCGGATCGATGAAATTCTAGATCCGGACCCTGGAACACTCGAACACGCTGCTGAATGTGTGTCAGTTTTCGTGATAACATTCAAGTCTGCACGCCACTTGCTTATCTCCGGACCCTGGAGCACTCGAACACGCTGCTGAAAACATTCAAGTCTGCACGCCACTTGCTTATAGCCAGTTAGAATCCAGTCTTTCATTATACAGTCGGGCTCTGTACTCAATCCGATGGCTTCATTCAGCAACTCACATCAGCCTTTGACGAACCTCCTATTTTCCATATAGCATCTGTTGGTTTTTTATTTTGAAGGGATAGTTTATCTATTTCGGGACCTAGTGCTAAGTCAGACAATTCTGGACTATCCTGTGGAGTGGATATCTTATTTTCTCTCACTTTTTGGCTTCAGGTTTCATGGATTTTTGACAGGATAAATGACTGGGTAACTAACTGTCCTACCTGACACGCTGATCTCGCCAGAGTGCGGAGTTGGGTCCCTCTAACCCAGCCATGGATACTCATGTGCTCTTGGTTAGGCTTGAACAACTTGACGATACTTCGACCCTCATGGTCCTTTTGGGATGCATGGTAACCGTTCACTGGAAGCTCTTTTCCCTAAACACGTTCAGGGTTTGTACATGCGTAGTTAACCACAAGCCACGAGATGTTCAAGCTTCTATTCTACTGGTTTTCAAGGTTTCAACTCAAAACCACTGAATACTTTCTAGCATCCCTAATGACTTCCGTCCTAGTCTAATGCCCCGTGTCTCTGTGCTCGAATATCTACCTATTCGTTACCTTCTTGTTCCGTATTTCGGATCAATTTAGGATTACTCTGCCGTAAATATGTGATGATTATATGCACTGCCTTCGGACCAACTTCTGCTATCCGTCCTGATTATGTCGTTCTCAATTTATCTCTAGCTGATATCGCGTATTTTCCCCTCCTTGTTCTACCCTTCAGTATTAAAACGTCCGTTTATTTTGTGGTTCGTGGGATTTTGGAACCATCTAGCGGAAACCTGTCCAAAACAAGGCCGCTCTTGGGAAGTTGTGAGACACAGCCTGACAGAGCATGAGGAAACGGTTCGACAAATGTTGTGCGCGCCCTCACAACAACTAAGTAAATCTGCCGACGGCCACAAAGCTCCCAATTCAGGACGAAAGTTACGTGGCAGAGGTCGCAGATGCTCGACAGACCGTTCAGGCAAATTGTCTGGAGGCTCTGAAGAGAACGACACCTCTTTGGCTGATTTGAAGCAGGTAGGTTGCTGAACGGGTTCTTCCGTCCTCTACGTGTGTAATAGAGAGCAGTTGTATGCTGATCGATTTCTCGGGATTCTCTTTCTTAGGAACAGATGCCACCGATGCAATCAAGCCAAACTGAAGACAGTTCCAAATCTCGTCGACCTCGGCGTGGACGACTTTCACTCAACCGTTCCTCTGTGCTACCCGAGCAACAAACCACTCCCGTTTTAAAAATAGGTGCGTGAAGATTCTTGTATGCTTGCTGGCCTTTAACTGATGGTTTTTAACTAGTTATCGTTACCCTCCTAGCAATGAGCCTCGTTAGACCAAATGAAATTGTTCACTCTTCAGAAGCGTCTTGATTCTGTCCATTAATACACACGGACATCTCTTCCGATTGTGTGANAAAAGAGTCGTCTTCGCGGTGGAGAAATCGGAGCCGGCTCATTCTGGTTCAGGTGTCCTACCTCGGGGATACCAATGAATTATGGCTCGTCTTCATCAGTGACTATTAGTATCTCTAGAATCGATATTTGGGTAAATTTTGTGTGGATTTTTTATCCAACCTCTTGCTTTGAATCCAGCCTGCTGGGTTCTCAACAGCAGTGAAAGGTTAGCTGTTTCACTGACCGGAATTAAATTATTTTTAGAGGTCCAGGTCATCCTCTAAGATTTTAACAACATCTCTTGTTCTTCAGAGCCCCCGGAAACACCTACACGGTCAGCTCCCGGAAAACTGATGGCCGCACGCCGAGGACGTCGTTCTATGCTTGCCGTGTCTCCACAGAAGAGATCACCAGGTATACTGGCTAGTGTTTTGGGCATTCAACCTGGCGTCAATATCATGGAATCCAAGAGTACTTGGTCCCCGGCTGCCGGAGGTGGTTCCCCAAGCCCCCTTCCCGCTGGTCGCCCATTGGTCAAGCGTCGTCTTTTCATGAGCCCTTCGGAGATACCCGGCAAGTTCAACTTGGCGGCAAATGGGCAACGAAAACGAACGTCGTCGGATTCAGAGCAACATTCTGGGTGTAAGCCCAAGTTTAAACTGGAAAGCGAAGTGCTACCTCAACCAATCGATTTTGAGGAGTCTGCACAGGTACGCACTAGTTGCCATGTATGGTGGTTTAAACATAATTCTTTCAACCGGCGAGGGCTAGTGTATTTGCATTTAGTATTTCCGAGAAGTTTCATTAATGACATCCCAAGTCGGATTAGAATTCTTTGACCAAACTTGCACCATAACTTTTTCCGAATGAGTAGCACTGATCGCCACTGAATTTCATTCAGTGGGAACTACGGGCCCTTTTGAAAATGTAACTTCTTGTGTGCCTGTCAGAGCGGCATCACGCATGTGCGTCACTGGAAGTATGCTGGCTACTGAAATATGTGGTCTTGTGTTTTCGGGCTTAGATACAGACTGTCGCGCGCGAAAATTAATCATTCGGGGAACACCTTGCAGTTTAGCCTGAGACCCTAGACACACGACTAAGCCAATTGTATGAGCATCGGTAGAATCCCCCTTCCCCTGAATCTAGCCGGGTTAGTTATAGTAGTTAACAGTTCAACTCCGGTAGAGCTCCTATCAGCTAAACTCGCGTCTTTGGTGAGCGGGCGATAGCATATCCGAACTGTAAGTTGACCACTGTCTAGAATAGATTTGCGATCCACTGCTCCAAGTAGTGCTTCATTAATTCATGTCCCACTGGTATTTTTTAGTTTATTTTTCATCCCTAGCTTATTTGTTTTTCTCTTCCCTGACTCTTAGTTTGTATTTATTCCGCCTGCCCCGGACAACCCTCGTAAACGTCGTCGCACACTGACCTCTCACCAGAAGGAGCGATTCGAAGAACAAAGGTATCTGAATGATTCTCTTAGATTTCAGCCTGTCCAAATAATTTCCGGCCTTATCGCATTTGACTTTTTGCCTCATATGTCTACTACATTTTAGAAAAGACTACTTACCTGCAACCTACACCGAGTTGGATGTTAGTCAGCAATCTATGGGTGATTCTCAGTCTGAGTCTCAATCTCAGTTCAGCCAAGTTTCTTGGGACCAATTCCGAACCAAGACGACAGTTGACGAACCGTCAGAGCCTGTGTTGAGTCGAAACGAACCACCCGTGACCGATACGCCTTCCACTGCCGTGGAAACCGGACAGCCTGTTTCAGCCATCCAGACTGAAACACAAACAGATTCAGAGCACCCGCTACCGACGTAAGTTTAACATTTTCACCTCGGTTCTTTCGAGGGGCGAGATGGCTCAAGTGGTTAGAGCGCGAATTCACTGACCGGAAGGTCCGTGATTCGAACCCGACCCCTGCCTCTCGACTTTCCCTGTCTAGGCTTGGGCAACCTGGCAGTATCCCAACCCTCGTGCTTCCTTCGTGTGGCATGACAGCTAGGCACCGGAAGGGTGTTGCAGCTGAACGCGTTTCTTTTCCCTTCTACACTTCCACCGATGCACGCCAGCCCGGTTTTTGTCTTGACATTTATATCTTATAAGACGCCGATACCTGTGGAACTAATTGGATTCTTTATGACAACCGTACGTTTCATCTCACTTTCAGAACCCCCAGTTCCCCTGAACAGACATCAGCTGTTGCTGCTTCTGATCCGTCGGTAAGCATCTGCCCAGGTTTGAAATTACTTTTAAAATCCGGTCGACCGAGTACGTCTCACTTCACTTTTTCTGTCCCTCCTAGTTGGATTCTGAGAACCGGAATCAGGACACAAGCAGTTCTGTTTCAACTGATCAAATGGTGGAAATACCGAAACAAGATTCGCTTACCATTGAAGGTATTTGTTCCTGTCCTGATACATCTGCCTAATCGATTGATTCTCTTTTTCCTAACTGGGTTGACTGAAAATCGGTTTAAGTTACTTTGCTTTTGCAGGGTCTTCGTTCAACGTCAGGTCATGTTCTTCCGGCAGTACCTTTGCTTATTTTTTCCGTTTCCTAACTGGGTTAACTGGTCATGTGCTTCCGGCAGTACCTTTGCTTATTTTTTCCTCACTTTATTTTATTCCCTCCAAGTAGTACGACTGGTTAACAACATTTCTTCCGAGCTCGCTACCCAAAAATCGTCTTTTGAACCGTTGTGTCCCCAATGAGTGAGCTTACAATTATGGGTTTTCGAAGCTAATATGCCTGTATCAAATACTGTGCTGTGTACGGGAAGATGTCACGAATTCCTGTACTGAATGTCCGTGGTATTCTTGCTAATCTAGGTTAAAGTAGCCTTTATCGGTATGTAGTAAGCGTAAGTAGAGCGAAACTGTCTGATTCCAGACGAGCGGGTTGCAGACCAACTATGAACTGTATTCAGATTTGTATTGGCCCAATTCATCACACCCCCACGGGTGGCTGCTACCACACCCGTTATCACACGGGTGACGGCACTAAATTCATCACACCGCCACGGGTGGCTACTGTCACTCGTTGGTCAGCCTTACACACCCGTTATCACACGGGTGACGGCACTGTTCTTTTGCCAGTTCTTCCTATCAACGTGAATGTACTGCTTGACGAACAAGCCAGAAATCACATTCTCGATAATCGTCATATGTTTACTGATGATTGTTCATTTTTCTCACATTTTCCCCTTAGAAACCGGCAGTTCCAAAGGCCCATTCACCGAAGACCGCAGTTTGTCTACCAGTCCAAAACCGACTGACCACAGCTGTTCAGTGACAAGTTCCAAAACAAGCTCGTCTCCCGTACTGCCTCCAAGGAAATTACCATCTCCACAAACTCCACCGCTTAATTTGCCCCTGTCTGGTCTGCTCCATCGCGTCAGTCCTCTGATGTGCGGTGCGTTCCTAGCTGTTTGGAAATCTTGTTTTGCTGTTTTAGTGCCATGAACATCTTTGTAGCGTGTCGTTTTCTTTCTTCGGGGGGCCTGTTTGTGTGCCGTATGCAGGCTCTCTTCCTGTAGCCCATGTTTGAATCCTACCTGACTCACCACGTTTGTGTTAGCGTGTGAAACTGTTTCGGCGTCCATATTGACCTTGTCTTTTTACCAATCTCTCTCGTGTACGTGATCATTTCCATTAATTTACCCTTCTACTTGCTATGTAGGTCCAAGCTCAAGTCGTGCTCAGCGCATGCTTGCTCTCGGTCTTCAAAAGGCAGCGGAACAGACGGCACGCCAGAAACACACAGACGCTACGCCTCGTACGCCCGAACGCCGCTCGAGTCCAACTGCCAACCTTCAGTCGTTGAAAACTCCTTCGGGAGCTGAGTCGCCATGCGGTAAGCCTGGTCTTTTGATGAGGTTGCAATAGACGGAGCCAGGGCCTGCGCTATGTTCTGCTTGTTATTTCTCCGTTCCACTGTTTCCAATTTGAAACCACTCGTCACTTTTCAGCTGTCGCTCATTAGTCTTAGAGTTCTGAACCAGTTTGACTAATTGGATTAGTTGTTGGTGGTGGCGGGATTTGTAGAATGCATAGTCATTGTACTCGAGTTTCACTTTGCATTAGAGCTCATCAGTACTGCATAGCCTTGGCCATGTCGGGGTTTGAACTCGGGGCATCCAGCATAGGACGTGACGGGGTTAGCACTACCCCACCAGCACACGCTGGACACATTGGCATTATCGTGTCCGAACAGGTAAACATGTTTACGCTTGACTGATGCGGTTATTTTGTCCGACACCTCAAATGACGACCCACTAACTGTACTGGTTGTGTCAACGTGACATGAGGTGCACCATGACAACAGTATGTTATGTTTATGCTATTATCAGAACTGCACATGTGTTCTCAGCTGTAGCATCCTTTCGGTGCCTAATTGTCATGCCACCAGAAGGAAGCACGAGGACTTGGATACTGCCAGGTTGCCCAAGCCTAGTCAGGGGAAGTCGAGATGCAGAGGTCAAGTTCGAACCACGGACCTTCCGGTCAGTGAATTCGCACTCTAACCACTTGTCCATCTCGCTCCCCAGTCTCACATCGAGTACTCGGGAATGTCGATTTAATCCTGTAGAGTACTATAAGGCTAGTAATCACCGTACGGCCGTTTCAGAACTGTTGGAAGTCAATAGCGGTGCACACCTTACAAGGTTTGAACCCACAACGACCCGGTCACTATTCGAGCCCTGTGAACCGTCCAAGTACAAGAGGATAATAATCTCGTAAAAAACAACACCCCACAAGTTGTTTGTCTGAGAAGTGAGCATTCGAGAAGCTGGTTAACAGCGAGTCACATTATGCGTAACCGAAAAATGACGCCGCTACATTCTGGGCAAGTGAACCTTACACTACTGATTAGCCAGTCGCTGTCGAACTGTAGTGTTCAGGCGCCGAGCGGCTGTGAGTTTCGATCTTCCAAAGAGGGGATGATTGCGGAATGGCTGCACTGTCCTTTCCAGCTTGTTGGTATAACTCGGCTTCACCTACAGCGTGACATCTGGATTCGGAATTTCGTAACCTCCATGCATGCAAGCGCGTCAGTGCTTTTCAACGTAACAGGTGCACCGTGACAAGTGTCTTATGATTATGCTATTAGCGGAACCACATATTTGTTCTCACCTTGATTCAGTTGTAGCGTTCTTTCGGTGCCTAACTGCCATGCCACCAGAAGCAAGCACGAGAGCTGGGATACTGCTAGGTTGCCCAAGGCTAGACAGGGGAATTCGAGGTGCAGGGATCGGGTTCGAACCACTGACTTTATGGTCAGTAAATTCGCGTTCTGACCTCTAAGCCGCCTCACTCATTCGGTACATATGTCTCGACGTAATAACAGGGCTGAGGCAATGTCGATTTGACAAGAACATAAGAAGGCGACCTACGTAACATTTAAAGTTGGATGCATCTTAAGTGACCTTTCGACATACGGTTCCGCCCACCAGCGCACTTTTAGCAACACTTTGTTTGGTTGAATAATATTGAATGCGTTTTCTTTTTTAGTATCTATCTTGTAAGCCTAAACAATATTTTTTGGACGGATGGAGAGTTATTTGCCCATAACTTAAGAAAACTCCACAAATTTTACACACCCCTCTCTGATGTTGCACAAGTTCGACTGCATTTTCCTCCTTGCTGCTGGTAATTTCGCCAAACATTTTCAGGCATCATGCGCAGCATCGCGTCACGCAAAAAATCCCACCGAGTGTCATTTGCAGAGCAGCCAGTTGTCTACACCTTTGGAAGCCCAACACGTGAACAAAGCCAGGGAACACCACCGCGTCCCCCTCCAGTTGAGCCGAAACCACCGCCTCCTACCTCGACCGAAACCAAAGTGGTTATCGACCTCTCGTCCTCGAAACCAAGTTATCCTGACGTTTCAACACACGCCAGTCCTGAACCAGTCTTTGACGTGGACCTGGATAATTCGCAATCAGTTGGACAACGGTGAGTGGTGTTTTTTTCTGTTAGTCGAAGGCAGTTTCGTTTTTCTCTGTGTTATTCGATGTTTTCGCCTCTTACTGTTCATTGATGACCTCCAGCCTTCCAGACCCCATACTTCCCACACATCGTGAGATTCTTTCAGGACAGTATTGGGCTAGCTGATATGCTTCTTGCTCGGTCGGTCAGCCAAAGTATACTCTGAACAGTCAGCTCAGAGTTTTCGAAAATGGAAACAAGTCCACCCTCGAATGTGGAGGGGAAGTTAACGGAACAATTTATGACCCACAGTGTTTAAAAGGCTCGTGGGTAGTTCAGCGGCACGACACGAAGGTCCGCAGTAGCACCGCTGACGCTTGAAACCTGCGGGATCCGTAGAATTCACGTCCACTGTCGTTTGAACAGTCTCCTGTCCTGGTGTAATTTGTCTGGTTAGCCCACACCACGCGTGTCCAGAGAATGTTTGCTTTTCGGATTCTCCCTTGGAGGATTACTGGTCGCGGTCGGACTCATGGGTCGCGGACACACAAATCCTGCGACAACTCACAAACGTTTGTCCCTTCTTTTAATTTCGGTCCTGTGCAAATCTCAAAAATCACACCCGGAATAGCCGAATACAGTGGTATTCATAGTCGAGATGTTGACAAGTCGGTAACCACAGCCAGGGCAGCTACTGGATCGCAGTTCGAGACGTGAGGCGAACGAATCACATTACTCAAGCGTGGACATGTTCGCCTGTCCAGACGTGAAAATTCAGGTGCTTCCAGCTGGTGGAATGGTGATAACGTGCTCGCCTTGGAAGTCAGACGTGCAGGGTTCAAACCCCGGCACTGCTGATGAGCTCCAGTAACAGTGAACCTCCAGTTCAGTTCTCCCCAGAGGGCCAGGGGAAGAGAGTGATGTGAACGGGAATCCTGCAACTGCTTAATTGCCCAGCGAGTTGTTCAGTTCACTCGTCGTTGGTCCACTTGTGCACCGTTCTTGCTTGATCAAACCTGTTTTCAGTATGTTGAGAATGCCTTCGCGTGGTGATTCTGTTGCTAGTTCTGGGGTTTTTCACCGTACATGTCGAAACATGTGACGCGTGAGAAACAAAAATCGAAACAGTTGGACTATTTTGGACACTTCGGTGATCTGTTTACTCTCGCATGATCTGGCCAGCTTCCTGGGGTTGTTAAAATTCCGTTCGCTGCAGAATTGAGGGTAGTTACCTCGTCGGTGACCCAGCCAGAAGAAAGGATGCAAATGTCCGGACGTGTAAAGACGTTCTTACTCTCAAAATTTGTTTACCTATTGCTACCTTGGAAAGATAAGGGCTGCTTAACAAGCTGTGGGAATCAACGGTGTCAACCTGTTCGCATTCCTGTCCACCCCGTCAGAACATGTTTACACCGGTACAACGCGCAAACATAACTACCGATTATCGCCAATGGACTCTGTCACGAACTGACCGCCACGTGATTGGTTTATCACGTGTAAATAAAGACACTCTTGTACTGAGCCTGGCGACATTTGTTGGACTGCGGTCTCGGTGTTCAGGTAGTCTGTCTGCTTGAGTAGCTGACGAGTTTGAATGTGTTGAACAGATTTATATTTGAGAAGGAGAATAGTCTTTCCACATGCTCTGGTAAGCTTTACTGACCTTTTTTCGCATTTTTTCACCTAATATACTTCACATAACACCAAGTCTAAGTATGTCGCGTTCCTCATTCAAAGTAAAAAGTTTTATTTGGCATCCTCAATCGTCGTTATCTCTTGGTGTGAACAAACCGAATGGGTTCCTGTAGAAGACTTTTAGTACTCGTAAGCACGTGCTGTTCACTTGCCGATTCGTAAATCATGAGGCGTTTATATCCCGAAAACTTATTGGCTTACCTTTCAACTGCCAGCGAACTTGTGACTACCAAGGTTCTATCCAGTGCCTGCACGTATATCAATGATTCTCTTGTAACTCCCGTGTACATCCTTCGGTTCAGATGGACAGCGTTAAGGCGAGTAGCCTTCAGATTGGTTTTCAGCTGTGAGCAGGTACTTTCGGGTCACGTCCTGATAGGCGGTAATCGATTTATTTGAACTCAGCTGGTCCTGCCGTCAGCTACAGCCGGTGATCTTGGACGTCAAACGCCAGACAGTATATTTACGACCTTGAGTACATGACTAGCCTTATCGACTGTTCAGCTGTAGCACCCTTTCGGTGCCTAACTGTCATGCCACCAGACGGAAGGGATGGGATACTGCTAGGTTGCCCAACCCTAGACAGGATCAGAGGTCGGTTTCGAACCGCGGAATTTCGGTCAGTTCCACTTACAGAGCCATCTCGCTCCAGTGGTCGTATTGATGATCCATACATTCGACGAATACCCGCACATTGCCGCGTTTCGATCGGAAGTGGGGAGTCCATTATCAGTGCGAGCTCTCCTGTGGAACTGGGCACAGTGATACGCCAACATGTGAAATACAATACACAGTCCAGAATTTAAGACGCGAACTCTCTTCGGAATGGTTACTATTTATCTTACTATGGTTGACCATTGTATTTAGTGTGACCACCTTGCGGTCACGTGGGCAATGTATGAATACTATGTCGCGTTGTCTCACTGTCTATTTAGTGGGTGTGACCTACGCAATTTCGCTCTGACCTGTAATATGTGCCTTCTGAGTTTAAAGGAAACTTACCATATTGCTCTCGTTGTCTTGCTGACGGGGCAAAGCAGCTGCCTTGAAAGTAAACTCAAAGCCGAACTTCAGTCGCTATCTGGCGCGATGGTTGCTAACTTGGCTGCTACGAGTCATGTGATTAATTCTGTCAGCGCTTTCCGAATCCTGACTATCTATCTACCGAGATTCGTCGGATATCAATGTTTAGCAACAGCTGAAGCAATCGCGATTCACTCACGCCTTCAGTGACCTAATCCCCCAGTCTGTAGTGGTCAGAATAGATCGCAAAAGCATTACACAATACAGCTTGACTTGCTACAAACCCCACGGAAAGGGACCCATGCCGTCTCCCATAAACCATTCATTCATTTTCGCAGTTCGTCGCTGAAAGCGTCCACGATCCGGCTGCGCGTGATCCCCATTGTTATTTTCGACTGCCTGAATTGATCTTGATGAAATCAAGGTTCTTTATGGTCGCAACACGTGTCACTTCAGCGCGTCACGTGTGGCTACTTGACAAAACGCGTTTTGTCTACCGGGACGCACTTCCCAAGGCCTTTGGTGCGTAGTAAAAACATTTGCCTACTCATGAGTAGCATGACGTACACATTTTAAAGTTACAGCCTGTCCCAACAACAACTATTCAGTCAACATCAGTAGTCTTTTGCGTTACCACGAGGACATTCACCATTCGCACGTGGTTCACTACACTCTACTTCTCGTGGTACACGCGGAAACTACTCACAAATTATACAAGGTTATCTCGAACGGTTTCAGGCAGCTCACTCATTACTGAGCTCCATCTGTATCCGCAGCCAACATAGGGTTCTTTAGGAGAGCGAACTCCCCACACAGAAAACAGTTTTTGGAGGTGTAAGTATAAAAAACATTCCAGTATCCGGTGTTTTTCGCTAAGCGCAGGTTTGGCTGCCTTTGCTGGCTGCGATGTGATGGTGTTTTACCGAATGCCGCCGGCAAGGACCTAGGGTAACAGTGTTGTTTTTAGCTGCTGGTATTCAGGTCATCTATAGTCTTTTACCTTCGTCACACCTATTTGAAAACGGTACAATTAGCGTTCGGCACCCTGTCTGTCTATGCTTCAGAATGCACTGTGTTCGTCAACTCTTTTTAGGACTTTCACATTTGGTTTCTTTGTTCTTTTCGGTACAGCTCTCAAACCAAACCACTCAATGATGAATCCCCTCCTCGTGCACAGCATCGTCAACGGAAGTCGAACTCACCGCAACGTCTTATAATAACTCCAAGATCCAGTCTTACTAACAGTCCATCACGAGCTCACAGAAAAGAAACCAAACTGGATAGCCGAAAGTCTGTCTTTGTCAAACGACGACGTCTTTTTATGGCTGACTCTCCCGAGCCTGTTGTTGAAGTCCCTGCAACCGTCATGCTGCAACCTGAGAAATTGCCATCAGCTTCTGTAGTCCTGTCCCGCCCATTGGTAGTCGATAGTGAACCCACTGAAATTGAAGATACGCAGTCCAGTCAAACTCCGGTGTCTCTCAGTTCATCTCCTCCGGTGGCACTGTCCGAGTCGACAATCTCCGAGACACAAGATGATGTGGAGTGCGAATTGATTGAGAGTAGTCAAGGCACGCAGGATTCTACTCTACAGCCTCCATCAGAACCCGAACATTGTATAACGGAATCGTTAGAACAGCACACGTCTCCACAACACGCCATCTCTCCCGCACCCGCCTGCACTGCGGAACAGGTAAGATCCGCTACCCCCCTTTTCCTGGTAACAGCTCTTGTTTCTATGCGCAATAATCGTTCCTTTGTGGGTCGGGCGTGTCACACTGCCCCAAGCGAATATGTCCTCTTGGGGATAGCACGAGGGACTACCACCCCATTCATGAGATTAACGTCAGTCCAGATAGGCAAGTCCTGGTTCTCGGTGTAGAACGGGTTAGCCTTTGGTGAAGTATCTAATTGTCGTAATTTGGGATTACATATGCCGGGGTACAACTAAGTTGCCCGGGACACACCAGTCATCACCGCCCGTGTCATCAATGTTGAACACAGGTTCTTCATTGTGGTACAACTACAACATGAAAAAGAAAAGAAAATTAAAGGTCTAAAGTAGCTACTCCTAAGCGCATGCAAGTCTGGGAACGATGGTCGTTGGTTTCTTCGCTGAGCGATTTGGTTACAAGCCTTTCGTCACCAGTCGGACTAGTATCATCAGGGGGTTGTGAGTGCGAGTGATTGGAGGTCGGAAGTATGTGGTTTAATTAATACGTGGATTTCTACAGGGTCTATTCACCCAGGTCGACCTTGACCGATTATTAGTCCTTTAGTTGATCATCCCAATAGGCTCCTGATTGGTGGATATCCGTTTAGAAACTGGAAAATGGGACCTGTGTACCATAGAGGAATTGGTTCTAGCAGCTCTAGTGTTGTTTGCTGAGGATAAGTTGATTGGCGAGGAAAGCAGCCTATCTAGTTTCTTGATTTTGAGTGGGGTTTCTCGTCTGATGAAACGTGGTGTGGAACTGTTACTTACTAAAGACTCTGATGCAAGAACGCGACTGACTACGTTACTAGAACATTAAAATATCTCACCCCGATGTCCTTATCCGGGAGAGAATCGGTTGCTATCACGAGTGGATTTGGTGGCCTGAACATTCATAGTTCCATGCCAATTCACCAGGTTTGGCGCATTTCCATTCCAGCTAGGTAACACCAAAGTTCCGCTGTTTATGTTGTCCGGCAAGCGCACTCATTGTGTGACTAGCTCGTTTGACGCGGTTGTATCACAACTTGAGCAGTACGGACTCAGTTTATCTTATCAGATCCCACCAATGCTTTCGAGGTGTGAATTGTGAAACGTGATTATATTTATGGCCCATGCAGTGCATTTTAACACATTGCGGTACTGTATGCGGTACCTCTGATGGATGAAGTTATACTTCCACCGGCACCGTTAGTCTGTGGTTGGTAAAAGCCTCCCTGATCTCCTCAACTTGAACAAGGACACTGCGGAATTGGCTGTGATTAACACATTGATATTCAATATGTCCGTGCTACTTTACGATACTTTATTCCACAGGCCTCATACGGGCCATTAGATGCACCTGTCTCGGTGAAATCTACCGTGGCCTGGTGGACGATTGTTCAGCATGTGTGCCAGATGGTTCTTGTCCGTATTCCCTAAGTTTGTGAGACTTTTGTGCCGTATTCCCACCCTTCCACTTCCGCCTTTCTCGTGAGTATTTGACAGTTAAGCAGCAGTGATTAGAGCGCGAATTTACTGACCAGAAGTTCCATTGTTCAAACCCGACCTGGAAGTATCCCAGCCCTCGTGCTTCCTTCGGGTGACATGGCAGTTAGGCATTAAAAGGCTGCTACAGCTGTACCTATATCATACCTATGACCCCAAAGTAGTATGCCAAATGTAAACGGAGATCGTGCTCAGCGGTAGCGGCACTTCCGACCTCAACGAGAGAGAAATCGACGGTTGACCTGAATTTTTGGCGAATTCATCAAGTTTGTTCCCCTCTATTAGGAAAATCAGCTTCGAACGTAACGGGACTGCATAACTGCCAATGGAATAACCGCTTTTCGTTGAGACAGATTTCATTGGTTGTTGTTCACTCGTCCTTGACAGATGAGTTGTATTCTTTGTATCACTTTTTTGACCCGCTTGTACGCGACAGTGATCAATAGAGCAGCTGGCTCGCACGTTCATTGTCCAAGCGCATCTGGCTATCAATCGGCTATCCGGACCGGGGTTCGCGGTAATAAGAAAGCATTAAGGAGACTGTGTTCGACAACAGATTCTGACACCAAATACGCGGTGCCTTGGGAAGTGGACTTCGTGATAGTGTTGGTGACAAAAATGAGGTCAGATGACCGCGGTTACGGTAATAAGAAGGCATTAAGGGGACTGTGGTCCACAACCCCATCAATGCTCTGTGTTTCTAGAGTATCCTAATTTCAACAAATACTGTCATTTGCACACGAATTCGATGTTTTCACAGGAAACTCAGCCGAATCCAGCTGAACCTTCCGTTGATGATAGTTCATGATGGCCTGTCCAATTTTATTTCAAGTAGAACATAAGACTGAGGAAAACTCCGGGGCTGTGCCTAACTCATGAGCCCCCAAAAGGGCGATACCAGTTGTGGGCTGCCGAAGGGTTTCCAACAACCTTCTCAGTAGTGTCTTACATCTACACAATATCTTGGTTTTACTTTTTTGCAGGATGAGCCAAAGAACGCCACCAAGGACCCGCTCTCCATCTCGCAGCATGGCGATAGCGATGTGCCTACTGAACCAACAACGACTGTAGAGCAGTCACCGGAATCCGGCGCCGAACAGTTTATTCGACAGAGTCTATCC